ATGACTGCTTGGTGGTGTGATCAGCAAATTTTAATTTTTTCCCACTCCCGCTTATCTTTTCAATACCAAGCTTTTTGAAAATAGACAAGGGCATTAAGCTCGCACTAGAACCAAAATCAATTAGAACCCTCTTGAGTTCTCTGTCTTTTATTGTGCATGGTATTGTAAATAACCTCGGATCCTTATGCTTGATAGGGATTTTCCTCTAGGGCGCAATTGCGCATAATTTCTCATCAATGGGTACTTGTCCATCTTATGCTGTTCTCTTATTTGATAGTACCTCCTTCATGAGTTTCTGTTACAAGTGAATTTTCTCGAGTGCTTCAAAGAACGGTATGTTGATCTCCAGCTTTTTGAATAATTTAACAAATTTATCAAAGTCTTTCTCTTTTGTGTCCCTTTTTTCCACTCGAGAGGGCTACAATAACTTAATCACTGGTTTAGTCTTCTCTTCAACTGGCTTCACAGGTGATACCACTTATTCCTATTTTTTCTTGTTCTCTCTCACTTCCAGATCTAATTCTATGATACTATCATCATATTTTACCTTATCTTTTTCTTCAACAACTTTCTGACTCCTTGTTGCGACAACATTAACATTCTCATGATTTTTCTTATTTCCTTGTGCTTATAGAGCTACTTGTTGTGCAATCTATCCCATTTTAACTTCTAATTTTTTATTGCAGCTGTGGTATTTCTGTGATTGCTCTGTGTCTCTTCTTGAAATTGAGAAGTGTGGGCAACCATCTTTTCAATAGCCACCTCCCATTCTGCCTTCTATGGAGCTTGTTGCTGATTTTCTTTCCAGGAGAAGTTGGGATGATTCTTCCATCCAGGATTATAGGTGTTAGAATACAAATTATTTTGCTTCAAAATTTTTATCTCCTCAATTTGTTGTGGAGTTGCAAGATATTGCAAAATAATGTGTGGTCCATTATAAATTTCACAAACAACATTTTGTGCATGTTAAACCTGAGCTACTTGTTGAGCACCTATTTTCATTACCTTCAGCCTTTTCTCCACTTCTGCAATAACAATTTCTTCAATTCTGAGCTATTTATTGGCTTCCAACTTCAAATCAATAACTCCCTCTGGTTTGCTTGTAACCCTGTCATACAATTCCAGGTGTTCATTTATAGCAATGGCTTCAATGATCTTCTTAATACCAGTGGTTGTTGTAAAGTTGGACCAGCCACCGACAACTGAGTCAATAAACTGCTTTGTCTTCATTTTGAGGCCATTTACAAACATCTGCATTTTCTCAGTTTGATCCATATTGTGATTGGGACAAACTACCAATAACCTCTTGAACCTCTTGTAAGCATCACCAAGTGACTCTCCTTCTTTCTACTTAAAATTCACAATTTCATATCTTTTGCGAATGTAAACAGAAGCAGGAAAATATTCATCAAGAAAAGTCATTTCCATTTGTTCCCAAGTAGTAATACTCCCAGCAGGTAATGAGTAAAACCACTCTTTAGCATCTACAGAAAGTGTGAACGGAAATATTCTTAATTTCTTAACTTCTTTATAATGCCCCTCAATCTTCAAAGTAGTACTCATGGTGAGGAATCTCTGCAAGTGTTTATTGTCATCTTCATTAATCTTTCCGGTGAAAGATTTGTTCTCAAGCTTTCATATTGTTGAGGGGTGCAACTAAAAATTTGCAATGATTAGCGGTTAATTCACAATAGTCAATCGACCTGTTGGAGAATTTTCTCCTCCATAATGCCTAAGAAGTCTTTAAGGTGGTGGTGGATCTTCAGCCACTGGTCTTTCCTTTTCGGACTTTGAACCTGAATGATCTGATGAACCTTTTGATTCCAGTCTAACCGCTCGAGCTTGTCTGTGCCTTACGTGAAAAGTTCTTTTGATTTTTGCGTCAAAAGGAAATTCAGCCGAGGGCTTCCCTCACATACAAGGGTTAGACACAAATAAGTAACAACGAAACATATAAAAATAATAGGAAAAAAATTTAGTAGCACAACAACAAAATTTTAATTGAACTCTATAATTTGGCAGTCCCCGACAACAGCGTCAAAAACTTGTTTGGAAAAATAGAAACTGTACTATTTTACCTCTTGCAATAATAGGGAAAATTTCCCGAATGTCGATCTCAAGGACTACACAAAAGTGCCGAGTTCAATTCGTGGTTCAATTAAACAAAAAAATAGTTTGGGGTTTTGTTTGGTTATTGTTACCGTAAAATAAACAAAAATATAAATTGGTTTTTTACTAGTATGAGGAACATGCTAGGATAAAGTGTATAATTTATCCTATAACAATCTTGAATCCTGATTTCTTCAACAAGTTCATAGTACCAATTACCAGCCCTTTAGGTTATTTTCCCCTAAGTCCTTAGTGGAAAAACTTTTGAATATTCATCCTAAATCCTAAGTACTTAGAGAGTTACGATGAATTCAAGCCTTTGTTTTACCAAGAGTTAACTAGTAACTATAGGATATCCCTAGTCCTAGGTGATATCTCATACAGTCTAATCATACAAAAACCTTAACAATTACGGCCCAACTAATTGTTAACCGTAGAACAATCCTTATTTGTCCGATAAAGAAAGCATGAAAACCTCTTGTACAATTAAATTGAATAATAAAAACAATGAAATTGATGAAATCAGAAATTCAAAGTCATTACAGAATCAAATCAGGGACAACCGCTAGCATTGGGGGGTTTAGCTACTCATATTGTTCAAAGTAATTTCAAAATAAAAAACAGACATTACAAATTATTGGTGAACTTTGATCTTTAATTGCTTTCGCTCATGAAAAGTCTTTGTTCTCCAACAATTGCATATGCTTCCTTATTCAATCGTAGAAACTCTCCGCTGGCAAAAAGATCTCCTAATTCATCGTGGAAACTCATCTAAATAGCAAAAACTCACTTAGGTCTATTGGAAGTATCCAAAATGCTCCCACAACTTAACATATGGGTAACATAGAAAAAAGTCAAGAAATCAGCGTCACAGGCCAACACGACCCGTGTCAGACAACACGGTCTCCCGTGTTGGTCTCGTGATTTTTTATTCTCTAATTCAAGTCCCAGGGGTTGCAACACGGCCGCCCGTGTTGCACCACTGACTTCCCATATTTTCCAACACGCCCAAGGTATCCCTCCTGTCACGGTCCGTGGTAGGTGACACGACCACCTGTGCCAGGCCCCCTGAAAGGCGATTTTTGCATTTCTTCTGAAACTCCAAGTTTTGTACTGTTTTGTCTCGATTTATTCCTATGAACCTGAAAACACTAAAACACACAACCAACACATAAAAGGTGGTAAAATAAAATAAAACACTCGACAAAAAAAAATAAAAAAATAACTGAAATAAATGGTAAATAACCATATAAAAACCACTGGTCAATGAGAGTAAAAACCACGAATCGTCCAGATAAAAAAAGCTCAACTATAATCAAATAAGGGTACAAAAAAGTTTTAAAATAATGCTAACAACGACAATTCACAAAAGCAAACGAGCTTACAAATAAGAGTCATGAAGCTAAAAAATTACCCAAATCTGCAACTTTAGTGTGAAGCCGATATCTCTCTCCTCAGGCCTTGTTTTGAATATCCAAACGGTTAAAAGGAAGATACTGGTGTTACAAATATGCCCTTAAAATGTGAGCTCGATTCGACGGTTAACGAATCTAGAATTTTCAATTTAGTGAGACTGGTTACAGAAAAACAAGAATAAGATTCTCTCCTCTTTTTCCTATATCTCTCACAATCTTAAATTAACCCTCTTCACTTAAATAAGTGAGACAAACAAACTAACCATATTTGAGTCTTTCTCCATATAGAAAGAGAGTCTAATCCTTGCGAGGATAATCAATTTATATAATTAACTTTTATTGTACTTTTTACTTGTAATTAGTACAATTTTCTGACCAAGACACATGCATTTCTCAATTTTAGAGGTGTTTCTATGAATTCCTCAATATTTTGTGGTGTTTTAGATTGGAAGAACATGGGTCAAATTTCTAAACTATAGTTCATTTTTAAATAGGTTATATATCTCTCTCACACACACATATGAAAATGTGATTATTGTTTAGTTATTTTGATATATGAAAATGTGATTAACTTATACATGTTGTTTATATATATTATATTCTCTCTGTTTCATATTTCATATATAAGTAAATTTCACTTTTTAAATTTATTGAATAATTAATTTATCTAGTTAATATATAGATCAAATACATAAATTATTTTATGAATTTAAAAAAAAAATTTGCTTATAATATAGAACACAGGGAATATACTCCATTTTGTTTGTTTTGAATTAATATTTAAATTTTACTTAGCTGATTATATAATTCACACGAGTACAAAAAAAACATGCAAATATGAGAGTTTTCCCTGTATAATATAAAAATAGGCGTTGAATATGCTACCATGTGACACAATGTGGTTAAGTAAACTATGTTTTATAAATAGTAACACTACTATCTAATTCAAAGTGTGAATGTAGTTCAATTCATGTATTTGTAGGTCATTAGTAACGGATATCCTACAAGATAGGAAACTTTAGTATCCCAATGTTATAAATTTTTATTTGTGAAAGGAGGATATAGATAATGTTTACTCAACTGTGGACACAAATTATTAAGATATATTCTCTAGTGTACTTATTATAATTATAATTGTCTTCCTAAAAAAAAACAACTCAAAATCAAGGTGTTTCTTCCCTTGTATATTTCCTCCCCCTTTTGCGTTCTTTATGAATCATAATTTTCTTGAAAAAGTATTTCATATATTTTTCACATAGTTAGTTTAAAAAACTCTCAAATTTCAAACAGCCTTAATTATAAGCCTCAAATTTCAAAACACCTTAATTTTAGACCCATTAGTATATATGTTTGTTTTGGCAATACTATGTTAAAAAAACAACAATGACATCAACAATGATGTCAAAAATATTAATTAAAATTAAAAAAAAAAAAAGATAACTCATAAACTAACTAGAAAATAGTTAAAAAAATCTTAGAAGCAAGTGGTGGAGTTGGCCAAGTCTTGAAGTATAATCATCTATCTCATCGTGCATGCATTTTAGCGTTTCTTTCTCACTCTTTTCTCATTCTGCATGCACACGCCTTCTCTCCATCTTCCACACCCTCTCTTTCTTTCTTCTCACTTTCTCTCCGGTCACCGCCGATTCAATCCCTCCTTAACCACTTCTCTCCGGTCAGATTCCGACGAACTTCAACTCAACACTCTCTTTTCCATCCCGCCACACAAATGAAAATCCTAACCAACCACCACACGCGCCGCGTCAACTTATTTCCCTAACCGCCGGTGAACGGACTTTCCGTGCAACTTCCGGCGACGCGAGCAAGGTTCGTTGTTCGATTTGGTATCTATTTATGACTTTTTCGATTTCGATTTGTGTTTCTATTTTCGAACTCGGTTCAATTGTTAGGGTTTTTACTGAGTTTCTTTTTGTAGTGAAACTTGTGGAATTGAAGTTGAAAATGGAGTCAAAGTGCTGCATGAATGTTTTGTGTGGTGCCTCCACGTCGATTCGGTGGTGGAAAGGTTGGATACTTCGATCCGGTGAATTCGCCGATCTATGTGATAAGTGCGGGTAATTATTTTCTCTAGATTCTAAATTGATACGCGTGTGTGAGTTGAAAATTAATGCGATTAACGGCGTTGAGTATTGTGAAATTGTACGGATTAAACAGTGAATTATGACGGAATAGTAATAATTATTTGATTTATTTATCAATTAATTGTTCATTGTTAATTTAGTTTTGGGGTTTTACTTTGAAATTTGAATATGTTAATTTCGTTATTTTCTTATATAAATCTTCTAACTACCGATTTGACCTTTGTGTAATTTGTTTTTTTCTGCCGATTTTTCATAGTGTGGCGATGTTTGCGCTTTAACTTTTTGCTCTTTTTTTTTTTGTTTTAAAGAAGTGTTTTGGTGAGGTTGATGATCTCATCACTTGTAAGATTGTGGCTGCAGATCATAGTTTAGAACGTTTTTCTTGGCACGTGTTTATGCTTAACCATGTTTCTTATCCTGATCCTGATATATTGAGTAAATGAACCCAAAAATAATTATTGGTGATATATACGAAGTAGTAGCATAAGATTTCCCAAAATGGGCAAATACATTAAAATAGAATAAAAGAAAAGTCAGCTCAGTTGGTAGTCGAGATATGACATCATATGCAAGAACGTGAGTTCAAACCCGCGACATTCCACTTATTCATGTTTAGGCAAGGAAATTTCAGCCACTGGGCTGCTAGATAAAAAAACAAAAGAAAAGCCAGATAATTATATGATCTGTTTGACTGTATAATTTTGAAGATTAGAATAAGGTTCATTTGGCTGAAATTTCACAGTTCAAATCATGTTTAATGATCATGGGATGTCATCATTTGATGACTCGATGGTTTTTTTGGACAAAAATATGATTATTGAAATTAATACACATGCTAATGTTTCCACACGCGAGTCTCGTGACATATAGTTTTCAATCAAGTTCAGAGTGAAAATATCAGAACAAGTTATTGTTATTATTTTCAAGCGCACATTCATGCATGTATAAGTTGATAAAACGTGTCCTTTAGATTATGTATGGACTATGATTAGTAAGGATGCTAATATATTTACTTGGTTGAAGTTGGACAAAATCTAGAAACAACTTCATGTTTATATTCTTACTCTGGGTTTTTCGCTATCTCTACTCTAGTTCTGCTTATGAGAAATCAGAGTTTTGTGATGTGTTCCATGCGAAAGATTCTGGTTGGAGAGAGTGCACCTCATGTGGCAAGGTAGAGTGTGTGTAAACCCGTTTTCTTTACCCACAATTTTAGTATCTTAACCTGGTATGATACACCTAATGATCCTATTTGTTCTATTATCTACAGCGTCTCCACTGTGGATGCGTTGCTTCAAGGTCTCAGGTTGAAATACTGGATACTAGTGGTGTAAGCTGTATAACCTGTGCAAGTAATTTAGGCCTTCAACCTGTAAGCTCACTTCACCATGTTCCATTATATAACTTACCATTGTATTTACCGAACATATTAGGATTTATGGTTTTTATATGATAAATAATTTACAATGATAGATAGAAGGTCTTAAACTTAGTTTTCTTTTTTTCTTTCTTTTTTTAAAAATCTTGTTCCATCATGTAATTGGTAAGTTAATTATTTATTAGCATTAAGAGGGTAAGCTGAATGGTATATGATCTGATAAAAAATCATGGTGATCTGATCTCTGCATTTCAGATCTGTTCTTCCAATTGGTATATGATTTTCTTGCCTATATGGTTACTTTGTATTTATTTTATGCTTCAATTTTCAAGTCTAACTGTATGTTCCAAAAATTGGCAATGATAACTTACTTAACCCGTCAAAAAAAAAAACTTACTTGACAGATTGCTAGTAATGAAAAGCCTAATGAATCTGGAACAGCAAAGTTAAAACATGTCAGTGCGCAGCAGTGCATATCTCTGGCTGACCAATTAAATGTGAAGGATACACAAGTTAGGAATTATGCAGAAAATGACAGCCTGAGGTGCTGGCTCAAACCTCACAATATTGATATGGATGGGCCTTCTACAGAAATCAAACCAGAAGTTTTACATTCTGTTGGAGAATTTGGTAACACTTCGATGTCTCAATTTCATCTCGAGTCAAATGGATCATCTAGGACAGCCAATGTAGAGAACTGTAAGGCAGACAGTATGCAAGGTATATATGAATCACTGGCACAGACAAATTTGAGTATGACCCTTGCTGCCCCTTTGTTAAATTTGAATCCCTTTCATAATGCCCTTGTTGATGAAAGGGAACAAAGAAAAATGTCACCTCCACTTCTATTGGCGTCTAGATCTCGCCATCTTTTACCTAGACCCCCTAGGCCAACTCTCTCTCCAGGCTTAGAAGGTAATGCAGGCACGGTGTCCCAGATTCGAATAGCAAGGCCTCCTGCTGAAGGACGAGGAAGGAATCAGTTGCTTCCACGATATTGGCCTAGAATTACAGATCAAGAGTTGCAGCAAATATCGGGAGAGTATCCAACATTGTATTAGTTCTTTAAATTGCTAATTATAGCCAAGATACTCTGAAAGATGATAACTTGTTATTGTTTTGACAATTACTATTGCCTCAGAAATATATTTCCTTAACCATGATTTATGGTATGTTCAAGTCCAAATTCCACCATTGTGCCACTCTTTGAAAAGATGCTTAGCGCAAGTGATGCTGGTCGAATTGGTCGCTTGGTTCTACCAAAAGCATGTGCTGAAGTAAATTTTTTTGCTTATCTGTTGAATTTATAGTTACTGTTTTCATTTTGTATAACTGATTATTAATTTATTATATTAAAATTTATTTTTCTTGACGAGTCATGTAATTTCGTAGAACTGAAAGAAGATGGGATTATGCAGGCATATTTCCCTCCTATATCTCAACCTGAGGGCCTTCCTCTTCGAATCCAAGATGTGAAAGGAAAAGAGTGGATGTTTCAATTTAGATTTTGGCCAAATAACAACAGTAGGATGTATGTTTTAGAAGGCGTAACCCCCTGCATTCAGTCTATGCAACTGCAAGCTGGTGATACTGGTATGTTTTAGTGAGAGAACCACCGAATTTGTTAAATCACCCATTCTAAGAATATATACACCTCATGGAAACCTTTTTTTTCTTTCTATTTGTCTTTCTGTACTGCAACTTAAGCTAAATTTGAAGACTGATAGGTGTTTTTCTTTGCCTCTACGTATGTCTGTTGGCAAACAGAATCTCTGCAAATTCCTGGCTCAATATTCTTACTAATGATTAATCATACCTAGAAGTTATGTTGCCTTTAGATAACGACTGCAAATATTTTATCCGAATTCTTTTGTTTCCTTCCTGTCTTCTGAGGAATTTTATGAAGTTTGTATACTTTTATTGATAACTTTTTGTTGTTATTTGAACGAAGTGCCAAAAATATTGAACTAAATCTGCTTTTGTTTTGGGGGATTGGGAATGAGGATATTCAAATGGGTTCTCTCTTATATGAAAAGCAGTTGATTTTTGTACTGTTTCTAAGTTTCATTTGTTACATGAAGGTTTTCTTTTCTTTTTTTACTAAATAAATTGTGTTAATCTACAAATTTGACCACAAAGAATAAAAGCTTTTCTAAAAAATGCTGCAGTAACATTTAGCCGTATGGACCCTGAGGGGAAACTTATAATGGGGTTCAGGAAGGCAACGAATTCTGCTTCATTACAGGTAATATCCACTTTTAGCTACTATAGCAAATTCAAACTTATTGAATTGATATTAAATTACCTATTAAGCAGGAAACTTTTCCGTCTAATATGCCCAATGGTTCTCATTCAAGTGAAACTTCCTATTCTGGGGTTTATGAGAATATACCTATATTAAGTGGTTACCGTGGCCTTCTTCAGTCTCAAAAGGGATGCTCAGAAACCCACTTAAATGTGTTGTCTAAAAAGTGGAACTCAGTTGGTGGTGACATGGATTGGCATAATGTAGAAACACCCGAAAGCAGGAAAAGAGATGCGTTGTCTTTGCCACCCGTGCTGGTTCCCGAGAAGAAAAGAACCAGGAATATTGGGTCAAAAAGTAAGAGGCTGCTTATTGATAGCCAGGATGCGCTGGAGCTGAAACTTACTTGGGAAGAGGCCCAGGATTTACTTCGTCCGCCGCCAGAAGTTAAGCCAAGTGTTGTCATGATTGAGGATCACATATTTGAAGAATATGAAGTGAGTTTACTATTTATAAGCAGTAATTATTTATGAAATTATGTCATTCAAGTTCTCATACACACAAACATATGTGAAACGACATGCATATGCAATTAATTTTTCATTTACCTAATTAAATTAATATTCTATTACTTTTAAAACCTTTTTTTATTGTTTTAATTTTTATGAGTGTTTATTAATATTGATGTAAATGAGTCTATGGCGTGCCTGAGGAGTGTCAAAGCATAGAAAAAGAAAAAATAGTTTTTTAGGACACTTATTTGAGCTATCCAACATGTGTCGTACACGTGTTATAGGAGTGTTTGACACCGGGGGTACACGTAATCCGAGGAGTGTCTGTGCTTCATAGTAGGTTTCCCAAACCTCCAATTAGGTTGACCATTTCTTTTTAAACGACCAATGTTAATATTGTTAAGAGAGTGCTGAAAAGAGAGTGTTCTTAGCATTTCTCTTGTTAGGGATTGTTAGTGTTATTATAGTATGAGTAGGGATCCAATCCTCAACTTCCTTTTCACTCCTCCTTAACACCACCCAACTACCAAATTAACCTTGTCC